AAAACACATTTTTATGTCTTTTATTGAATTTTTTTGTGGACTCACAAATATTATGGCAGATTTAACGCCATAAATTTCAAAAGTTTATAGTCATATAAATGTTATGACATGTTTAAGATTTCAGTAACTAAAAATCTTTATTTTTTTTCTCTAAAATTTCATGTTGAGTTAGAAGTGAATTCAATATTTAAATGTTATGGGTTCGAAATTTAAAAACAACTTCAAATGCTAATAATTGAGCCCTAAATATATATATATATATATACATATAATTTGAGTCAAAATTATTATGTTCTATAGCTTACAGTATTTTGCCTTTGTCTTTGTGTTAGTCAAACAATAACAAACAAATTAAAACAGATGACGGAGTAATAAATAGTACTATCTTGTCTAAATTTATGTGACAATTTTTTTTATTCTATCCTAAAAAGAATGTCATATTTTTATAATTATAAACAACTTAACAAGGATTTCTCTTTACCCTAAATGAAATGATTTATGGAGAAATTTAAGTTATATAAAGAATTAAAAAGATTACAAAAAAAGTAGTCCATTTTCTCTTTATAGAAAAAATAGGTCAAAAGGGTCCCGGGGTTACAAAGCTCGGCCCAAGGTCATTAGTCCATTTTTGCTTCTTTATTTTTTTTCAGCATTAATTATTTTTTTTATATATTTTTTTTTTGTTTTTTTTTTTGCTGCGTTTTTTTTTAAAAAAAAAAAAAAAAAAATTCAAAATCTTTTCATATTATCAACATTGTATAAATGGTGTTAAATACAAGTTTATATGATATACAAATAGTTATGTAGTGAATATGTAATGTATCAATATTTTATAAGTAGTTATGTAGTGTATATGTAATGTATCAGTATTGTATAAACGTGTATTGATATTATATAAATAGCGTATAGACATGTATGTATGATGTACAAATAGTTATATTGTGTACATGTAATATATCGATATTGTATTTTGCATTTTGTATAATAGTGCAAATATATTTTTTTACAGAGAGTATTTTGTATAAATAGTGCAAATATTTTTTTCTCAATGGATATTTTGTATAATTTTTCCATGATTTATAGTCACACAAATGATCAATAATTGTTTTAAATTACAAACTTTAAAAATCTTTTTTTAAAATTATATGTCAAGTTAGACAATGTCAAGTAAATTAAAACAAAGTGAATATTATTAAAAAAATAAATAGAATTTGAGCAAGTTTAATAGTCTTGAGGTCATGTCTTTTCCCCCCTCTTTGTATTTTGCCTGAATGAATAGGAAAGACGTGGGTCTAGCTAGACCCCTGACATCAGGTGACAAACCTTGGAAATGGCAATTTTATAAAATTAAAAAAAAAAGTAAGTTTAATATTCTGTCTTTTTAAAAAGAATGATCCCCTTTCTTTTTTAGTCTATTTAAAAAAGAATGACCTTTTTCTTTTTTTGGTAACATTTTAATTTCAGTTTTCTACGTGACATGTTTAAAATCACAAGATTAAAAGGCAATTTTGTACATTTGACATAACTTTAATTTAAGACCACAAGATTAAAAAATTTTCTATATTTTTTAAAATTTCGTGTTAAGTTAAACTGGATCATTCTTTTTAAAACGGAGGGAATAGTAGTAAAACCTTTAACTTGTCAAGGTGAAAAGCAGGATTGAGAAGCCTTCTATGTACAGCCCATTTATCAGCCTCATAGTCTGCAACTCCAGTTGCTAATAATTTAGTGAGTGGATTGCCACTTGGCTTCTGAAATACATAATTCTTCATCATCACCTCCTTTATAACTTCAGGATCCATGATGACCACTGCTGGTCTTGGCCCAAACCACACAAAACTATTCTTACCTACAAATTCAAAGTGAAATTATTTTGGGAACATACATAAATCATACCGTGTTAGTTTAGAAGCTAATTACTTAGATACAATTTAAATTTTCATGTTATGTACATCTTATTAGATTCCGGTGTCTTCAAATAAGTCCAGATACATGTATCTCAAATACATGGAGTCAAAATTAGGTGTAATTTTGTTCTAGATACATTGTATCCATGTGGATTCGCATATATATGGATACATAACAAATCTCGCTCGCCTTTCTCCCATCTCACTCTCCACTCTTCATGTATCCGGGATCACACCAGATACATGTATCTGAGATACATACGAAGCTCGCTCACATCTCTTTCTATTTTTGTTTGTATTTGGTAGCAAAAATTCATGTATGTAAGTGTATTTTTTTTAAATATATGTAAGAGACTCTTAATTAGTAGTAAAGTACGTAATATTTCAAATATATAGATAATAATAGTATATAGATAGTGAAGTGTGTCTAGTTATGCAATTTTTCCAATTATTTTCACATTTTTATGAGATACCTAAATCCACCACCATGCTTAGCTTAGGCAGGTTCAAAATTTGATTATAATTTTTTATAATAATTTTAAATTAAATAATTGAGTAAGTTTGTTCCTACAAAGTAAATGATTTTGATCTAGTGGATAAAAACACAACACAGGATGTGGATATGCGACACCAATATCAAGAGTTCAAATTTGATTACAGATAAAAAGTATTTAATGATATTAATATCAGATAATTCGATAGTTTAAAGTCATCTATGTCATTAAAATATAAATAATGTTATACCATCAAGTTATGATTTTTTTTTTAATAGTAAGCATTTCTAAAATGTAAAGTTTATAATCTTAAAACTAAGACAGGTTATAAAGTGATTTGATGGCTTAAAATTTTTTAATACTAACCGTATATATAAACTAAACTCATAATTTAACTTTTCTATATACTGAATAAGAAAAAAACTTATTTGCACCAGGTGTATACTAAGCAGAGCTAGTTACTTTAAAGAAAAAAAGAAGAATTAGAATTGTGAAATCATACTATAGTTTGTGATGATTTTGTGTATGAATGGGTTGACTCTTGGCCAAATCATGTCATGGGAGAAATTAACAGGCTTGGACAAAGCTTCTTCACCCATCTTGCTCATCTCTTTCATATCCCCAAACAATAACTTATAAGAATTCCCTTTGAAACCTTGTTGTCTTAGTTGTTTCTCCAAATATTTTGGTTTCAACCACACATAATTCAAGATTCTCCATGCCCATCTTAATACAAAGATAATTGCAAATGAAAATATTGCTAGTTTAAAATTGTATGGTATCTCCATATTGAAGGCCTTATCTTACACTCACTAGCACACAATTCTATGTGGTGTTTATATCTAATAATATTAGTACTTATATAGATAGTATATACTTTCTCTGTCTTATTTTATGTGATACTTTTCAAATTTCGATTCAGACAAGTTTATCTTTGACAGTAAGTTTTTTATAGATCTTTTAAACATTTTGAATTATAAATTATTGTGACTTATAGTACTTTTTACATAGTTTACAAATATATAAATTTCATTTCAATTTTTTTTTTAAAAATTCATGTTCAAATTCTCGGTCAAACTTAAACTGTTTGATTCTCAAAAAACGAAAAGTGTCACATATATTGAGACATTGGGAGTATATACTATCATAAGCAGAACTATAATATTAGGTATGAGTCCGGATAAATTTAATAATTTTTATATTTGATTAAAATTTTATTAAATACAAGGAAATGTTTAATTGTAAATTAGTAATTCAAATGAGCTATAAATTGGATGATAAATTTTAAATTTATAAATTTGAAATTCTGACTCCTTTTCATTAAACTACGATAGCTGATGAGAAGAAAGTGAATTTTAAAATTAAGACTTAACGACCAAGCAAATTTGTAAGGCCTTGGTGGCCAAGAAAATTAAAAATCAAACAAAATTAGCACACGTCTTTGAAAGTTGAAAGAAGCTTCGTATTGCTCTCTCTTTCTCTTGATTAAGACAATTTGACTTGTCTACATTTAATTAAATCTATTTTTATTTTATTAAAAAGGAAATTACTTGTAAATTTGTTCGTAATTTGTGCAATTCACTTCTTCTATCCTAAATTACTTGTGATATTTTAAAAAAAAAGTTAAATTAAACTATATAAATTTTGACTATTATTTTTAAAATATATATATTTTTTACGATATTGATATGAAAAATATTGCATCTTATATACTTTTTGTGTAATTTTTAAATATCTTAATTTTAATTTAAAAAATACTAAATAAATCTAATCTAATTTAATTTAGCTTCAAAAAATAAGTCAAATAAACTCTAGACCATCAAAAAATAAAACTACTTTGAGACAAAAGACATATTCTTATATGAAATAAAATGAATTTAAATAACAGGCATTTCGATTAAATCACAAATTTAGTTTTAGACTTAGTAATAGTTGAGTAGTATTAGGGTTGTTCGCAAAACGCTCAATAAACTAATAACGACAGGAAAATTGAAATGTATGATTTGATAACTCAACCGGATTGTTATATATATTACTATGACCCTGAATCTTTATCTTATTTGAATTACATCAAACACACCGCTGGCTAATGTTACATTTATTGCTATTCTTAGTAAACTTAGCGTAGTAAAACATGATTCTCAAAATTATTTGTCACTTCCTGACTAGATTAAAGTAAAATAATTCATAGCTTCCAATTGGAGAATATTCATAGATTATATATAACATATAGTTATATGTATATCATGACAGAACAATACGACTTCATATTATATTCGACCTAATTATTTTGTTGAATAAGAATTACTCAAAAATCGGATCATCATGATTTTAACACTATAATTAGTAAAGAGGAGAAAATATATTTCAAAACTGTAACATCAAAGTCATGACAACTAAAAATATACTAATGCCATGCTATATTCAACTTAGTCTTCATAGCCAACTAAAAAGTAAAATTAAAATTATCACACCTAACTAGAAATCCCATTGCAGCTCTAGTTGATCATATACCTGTGTTTGCTCTTTTCATGTGCTAAGACAAAGTGCAGAAAGGAAAAAAAACAAACAGAAACATTTCAGTTTTTAATCTGGCATATCACAAAACTCATTCATTACAATGAGAAATAGACAGTTGAATCACACATTATATTACATGAACTCGATTGACTATGTACAGATACGTGTTGGATAAGCGTGTATTTATACATCCAGTACAGGTACATGCAGTTTTAATGTATATTGAAAGTTGACACAAAGTATATGTCACACTTGTGGATACTGCTGTGGCTTAGCTAAAGCTATTTTTCACTTCTCAGATTAGCAGCTCAAAAACATCTGCTAAACTGTACCTTGTTGCGCGTCAGCTCTCAAACCTGTTTCAGCTTAGGTAGCTGAAATTGTGTCTTGAACTATATACTTTTGATCAACTTTTTCTTCTAAATTCATTCGTCTTTCATTCAAATCCATCGACAGTACTGAGTTTGATCAGAAGGATACGACAGACTCAAGCAATTCATGTGAAATTAGGTAACGGAAAGTGAAGTTGTGAGGAGTCCACTCAATTTTCTTCCATAACTTCCCCTGAAATTTTCTTGTAAAATGTTCAGGCAACGCGAGCTCTATCATTTCCTTCAAGCCAGAAGGGCACAAATCAACCTCCTTCACATAAGATTCCACATTCTTGGGGAGAACTAGTTTTTGTTCCTTGCGTACACTTGTGTTTGTTTGAAGGTACTCTTCTTTAGCCACTTCAAGCTCCTGGAATACTCTCTTAGGCGTGTACAACCGTAGCTGGACATATTTCATTGAATGAGAAGCCAAACAAAACGAGACAAGTATCAATGTAGAAAGATAATTTCTTCTCTTATATGTAACAAGATTCTAAATGATATCAATGCTTATGTTCAAATCACTGAAAGATAGATAAAAATATAGCTAGCTCAACCAATCTGCGCGTACCAGGGCATCAGAATGGCTTCCTGAGCATAGAGCAAAGCGTAGACGAGGGTCTGGATGCTCTATTGCATATCCTTTTCTTGCATCTCCAGCCTTAAATTTTTGTTTTGGGAAGAACAATGATTGAATCCACTACATGCAAAATTAAGTTCAATAAGCATCATTGAGAACATACACAGTGACTAGAACAGTTAAAACTCCTTATTGAAGATACGATTCACGAGTCAGCTAACAAATGAACAATCTATTATGCATGAAACAGAGGAAATCAGGGGACTAAATCCAAGTACAAAAACAAGAATGTGATTTACCTGACCAGGACGGGGCAATCGACATCCTAGTATAGAACTCTGAATCATCTCCACACTTACTGTATTCCCTCCAATGTTATAAGCAGCCTGAAACATATAATTTTCCAAGTTATAACCACCTCAGTAACACAACTTTTTCACAGATATCGGGCTGTTATGACCTTGAGAAGTTGAGATACTCTCTTGAGAGTACTTCGTGGAATCCCATAAACCAAGAACGCCTGAAATATATAAATGCTCGTTAGTAACTTTGATATGCAGTAAAAGATCTTCATAGAACTTATAGCTACAGATATGTTATTACATGCATCACTAGTGCATTGTGGACATTAATCCAGAAAGCTAGCTTCTCGTCATGCCTCATTTTTCTAGGATCAACTTCCTTCAACTTCGAGACAAGATACCTGTATTGACAAGTTGAATACCTTTCATCACTTACAAAACTCAGCAGGCTTACTGAAACACCATACGTTACATATGTTCAAATTACGGAGATCCAGTTTCTACAAGCAATTATCATTAGCATTAGACGTGTAGATGTACCGAAAATATCACAGTATATGTAAAAAAAAAATAGCTTAATCTTCAAGATCACTTTACAGACATAACATGTTTTTAGTACCAATTCTTTATTTGAGAAGAGGAAAATGCAGACTACAATTTGGGTAGTACTTAGTAGCTTACCTAAAATGTTGTAACATGCGATCCACACCATCTAAGCTCTGTTTATCTCGACAGAGCCCTTGTACTTCAGTCATTGTGAAAAAAGATCCATTAAATTCTCTTGGCTCTTTTATGTGAAAAGGGTTATTCAGTGTTGAATTAGATGAACTTTCTTCACATTGTAAAATCCCCATATCATTCTGACCTTGCTGAACTGATGATGATGATAATGAGATTGGAGAGAATGGGTAATCATAGCTGAACAAAGGGGGATCAGCAATCTGAAAATATATGGCTGAAATACACTTAATCATTTCTTCAGACAGCTGATTTGGGGCATGATGAAAGTGATTTGAAGTGCCATTAACAGAATGATCCGGCGCTGTCCAATTTGAAGTTGATACCTGAGCATGCTGGTTGCAATCACATCATCCAATTTGGCATTGTTAGTTGCATCACAAATAGATACGTCACCTGGGTCTAACTCTACCCCAAAAGCTAGCTTATGAAGAGAGGGGATTGTCAAAAACAGAGTGCATTACTTACCTCGAGCATGGATAAAGGCAAAGAATGGTATGAATCTAGAGCATCAGCAAGAACTCCAACTAGAGGTGAAGGCTTGAAAGAAGCAGCAACAGCAGTGTGAGAGAGTGATGAATGGCATCTCAGAATTGAAGTGTCAACTAGACTTGGATCTCCCAATCCTTCTACTGGTGGCATACAAGGACTCGTATTAGTTATTTTATTTTCCTCGGTGATGATGTTGTTGTGCTTCTTCATTTCTTTTGTTATTGTTGTGTCATCCAGTGATTGTAAGCGCTTAGCAAATGTATTTCGATACATTGATAGAAGATACTTCTCCAAATACATAATTTCCAGCTCCAGAAGAGCAACTTCCTTAATTAGATCTTCATGAGCAGAGTTATGAAGTTCAGTGCCTCCTGGTAATTGTGTTTTGAGATCTTCATTACTCTTGTGTAGCCCCATTAACAACAAGAATACTAAGGTACAATTTTTCTTAGATCAAAACTTGTATATAATGGCTAAGATGTTTCAATTAATATATTTGTAATCAGTGTTATGCTGTAGCATTCCATCTGCCAATCAAAGTTGTTGCAAACAAAGTGGATGTTATCATTGTTTTTGAAACAACCTTTTTCTCCCTCTCCTTTAATAAAGCTAGTAGTAAAAGAGTTGAATTTCAGATCAACTATTCTATTGTGAAATAGTGTTCACTAAGCTACCACTTTTTGTTACGTTGCTCCGACTCTTTGAAAATGTTATTAGGTGCATGTTGGATCGTTCAAAAATAGTGTATTTTGATAATACTTTTTATAGAGTCCGAACAACTTAACATTTTTTGTCAAGTTACTTGAAAAAATCATATCCTACATTTTTAAAATTCTATATGTGAAACTCTAGTATATTCTCTTAGGAGGTATAAAGTATAATAATATCAGGATAAAATGTAGGATTGTTTTATTCTGCGTTTAGTTGGAAGTATTTTGTAATTGTTGGATTATTTATCCCACCAATTTTTACCTTAGAACAAGTTATCTCATATACATATATAGTGGAATATCTTATCTCTGGATAACTTGTTCTCAACCAAACGACCTCTTAGAGTATATTGTTGGACCATGGTTGGATCTAGGGGTGCAAGGAATTCATCTGAACCTCATTCCTCACAAAATTACAATTATTTTGTCATGCATATAGTAAGTATTAATTTTCTTTGATTTTTTTGTATTTATTTTTTATTTAATGACAAAAAATTGTTTGGCTCCCCTGAAATATTTCCTTTCTCTATTTCCTCAAATACATAGTTGGATGAGTAATATTTGTCCTACTTATTTGTTAATGATATTAATTGATATCAAATAATTCTTATCAAAATAAAGTGTTTTTTTTTTCTCTCTTCAAAAACAATCATTTTAACTATGATTAACATATATATTAAATTGAAAGACCCCTCCCAACACGCAAGATAGATGTGACTCGTGAGTCCATTTCTAGATTAACTTTTTATAAAAATATTTCAATCTATTTAATTAAATAATTATTTTTTAGTGTTCGTAAATAATTACTTAAGAGAGCGGTCGCTCTTTTGTGGTTCTCTTAAAAAGTAGTAGAGCCTTTGTCGTGTGCCCTTTTTCCCTTTTGCAAAGGTGGGAGATTATTTTTAATTAATTTGCATTAAAACTAAATTAGTGATGAGCTCTTTAGCTGAAAAAAAAAACTATAATCACCAAATTAAGGACTAGGTTTTATCTTGCACGTTGACACATATCTTCGAATGTTCAACTTTTTCATTGTCTTTGCATCATGGACATACGTATACAAATAAATTAAAATTTATATATATAGCAAAAGTCGTGAACATAGTCGTGCTCTGATCACTTATATTTAAAATTCTAAATTCATCTCTCTCAAAAATTATATAGGTTTATCGATTAATTTATCCTCATTTATTAATGTAGTAAAAAAAAAGAATCTATACAATTTTGCCAACTACTACTAATATAAATAAAAGATATGGAGGGTGATAGTAATAATAATTTTAGCTTTATTTTCCCTTTTCAATGTAGCTCCTAATTAGGATAAATGAAAGTAGGAGGGCCATATCATAGCTTTTTGGCTTTAGCACTAAGAAGAATGAGAATTAATAGGAAGATAGTGACTGTCACCTCAAAAGAAATGCCCAAAGCAAAAGCCAAAAGGAATACAAGGAGACACACATATGAGTATTTTCTTGCTTTTTACTCTCCCACCCTGCCCTAACCCATTAAATTTTTTATCGTCAAATCTGAAGAAAAAAAATAGTTTTTGTTTCTTAATTTTGGAAATTGAAGTTTATCTTTATTTAACTGATTTGGAGTAAAAAAGTGAAAATATTTTTTTTTGTTTTACAAATTCTGGAATCAACTGAAGTTGAATTTCAAAATTTTATGAGCAAACGTACTTTCTGAAGTTCAACTCTAAAAAAGTGAAAAAAATTCATAATCAACACCTTCTAATGATAAGAGCAAAAACTATATATTATGAAAAATGTTTTCTTGGAAAATAGTTTATAGGAATAAAAATGACTTTCTTACTTTTTTTTTTCTTGAGTTTAGTATGTGCAAGTAACATATATTATTTTTAAAGTATTTAAATATAGTCTAGACAAATTATAAAAGGGTAAGGGTGAAGAACATAGATAGATCCAAATTTTAAATTTGTGAGTACAAACTCATATTTAAAAATTACAAGTTCATAAGACAGAGATAGATCCAAATCTTAAAGAATGAAAATAATGTCTTTTATGGAAATTATTAGTTATTTTTTCTATTACTATAATAGAATTATATTTTTAAAAATAAAATTATTTAGTGAATCAAACATATAAAAAAACATTTTTTTCCGAAAAGATATTTTCTTAACCAAACACATAAGGTAGTTTACATTGCGTCGCACTAAAAAAAAAAGGAAACAAATTTGTTAGTAGAGTTTCCTTTTTGACTTGCGTGTTTCATTTTATTTTTTTTAAATCAGAGAGTCCACACCAAATAAAATAAGGAAATGAGCCTAATATATCTTTTATCATTTAAAATTGATATAATCCTTATTTTGAAAGTAACTTATATATACCCTTATCATTGTACAAATGGTTTACATATAGCGTTATAAAAAAAGCTCACATATATCCTGCATATAATGAAAGTGAAAAAAAAAAATAGTTTTAAATTTATATTTTTGACTCTTAATTTTTTAAAAATATCATGTAAGGGTATATATGATCAATTTTGCAAAGTTTAAGGTATATTTTAATATTTTTATACATAAATTATTTTTTTAACTTCTTTGGTTATCATTATTTGAGTTTTCTTATCCTTATTTTTTTTTAAATTTCATTCTTTGGTGTAAAAAAATAAATAAATTTCATAAAATTTTAAAATATATTTTAACTTGTGTCAAATTAAAATAAAATAAATAAATTAAAACGGGAGAACTAAAACTCTTGCTGGAGAAGTTGATACGTATACTTCTTTTGGTTTGGAGGATAACGAATACCACGTGTGGTCTGACTTTATGCCTTTGGTCAAATCCTCTCTTGTTCATCACTTTTACAAATGTTTTTTAATATTAAAGAATATTATACTATATGATTAATTTAATTGATTTGGAACTTCTAGGGAAAAGAGAAGAAAGGAGGAAAATAATTTTTTTTTCCTCTTTGGGATTTTATTGTTTATGACAGCTTAGCTTGAATTATGAGTATCATTTTACTATTCAATCACGCACCAAGCATATTTTTTCAAAGAAGAAAGAAAAACACAGAGCTTATAGTTGAAGGGAACTAGGATTTTATTTTAATATTTTATCATTTTAATTTATGTGATATAATTTAATTTGATATAAAATTTAAGAAAGTAAAAAGGTTTTAAGAATTTATAGTTTAAAATAAATCACATTAAATATTTGTGTAGTTTTAATCATTTTATTATAATGAATATTTTTAATTAAATTAATATTAGATGTTAAAATATAAATTATTGTTTAGACTAATTAAAAATTAAAGTAAGTTATATAAATTGAGATAGAAGTATCATATTCTATCTCTTGTTCAAAAATGAAAAAATTACCTAAATACACAATTTATTTTATCATGTTCTCTAAAATTTTCTAACATTTGAAAAAATTACAAAAATCCTACTCTCTCTCTCTTGGATACATCATTTTACGTGACGTATCGAGACGTACGCGATGTACCGGGAAGTTGACTGATATATTCGAAATCGAAACGCGATGTATCGAGATGTATTCAAAGCCGGGACACCATCTATCGATACATTTTGAGAAGTATCAAAATATATTCAGATTCCACCAAATTTAAGAGATTTTTGTAATTTTAAAAAAAAAACTAAAACTAAAATATAATTATCTTTTACACTATCAAATTTATATAAAATTTCCTTAAAAAATTCACCTCCTCTTTTTCCCCTCTTGGACTTTTTCGTTTGCTTTTGATTACTTTCACTTTTCAATTCCCTTTTTCATCAAGTATCCTAAGCAAAATGATAACGAACAAGGTATCCTAGGGAGCAAGAAAATCAAGTCTAACTCTAATTTTGACTTAATTGTAATTTGTGGTAAAATACTCAGTCTCATATTTGAAGAATTCGAGTAATATAGTGTATTTTCTTGGTGTTATATAGAAGTGTTAATGGTACGGTTCAATCGGTTATATTTTAAAAATTATACTATCTCAAACTTTCAGGTATTTTATAATATATAACCAAAATTAGATTTTTTAAAAACAATTCTAATCATATCGGTTTCTCTTCGATATCGGTATGGTTGGATAATTTTCGGTTGTTTTTACTTTTAAAATATCTCCTCAAAATATACTACTATTAAAATATTTTTTTCTCAAATATGTTCTTGAAGAAACACTTTAATTCTTCACCAAGAAGACAAAAATGTAAAACTTTATTGCCGTATTGTTTGATCTTAAATATTTAATAAGAGTGTTTGCATAGGTTTTGTTGTATTGTTTGATAGAGTATCTATTACAATATCTTTTAATTTTAAACATAATTAAGTAAATGATAATTAAAGAGCAAAGACCCAAAATCGTCTAGTCACCAGAGGCGTTATATTTATATTTGAAAAATGTTATAAAATATATTTATATATTAAGTTTAACATATTATTAATACAAAGTATATTCATATACATGTAAGGTTATTCAATTTGGTTAAAAACAATTCAATTTTTTTCATAAATCAAACCATCCCAATTGTTCGGGACGGTTATACACTTGCATAAAAAATTACGATTTTATTAAAAAAAAACCATAAATCAATTCGATTTAGTTAAGTTCGATCAAATTTTTCATATTCGTCACGTTACCTCTTTAAAATAAGTATTCATCGAAAAGTAAGATAGTACGGCTTTGTTGATCTTCAGTGGTTCAATTAAATTTTGAAAATGAAAAAAAGGTTAAACATATTCTTCAACAATATGAAATTGAATAAAAATATGATCTTTAGTGGTTCAATTAAATTTTGAAAATGAAAAAAGATTAAACATATTGTTCAACAATATGAAATTGAATAAAAATATCTTTTGTTAATAGTTAGATCAAAAAATGTCTTTTGCAGTTAATATTTTGATTCAAATGCTCATATTATTACTTTCGGGCGAAAAATGCTCCTTTACTAATAAACATATTTTTTATTTTTTATTTTTAA